GTTTTAAATCAAACTTTCCCTTATCCAAATCCAAGGATCTCGCCTACATTTTGGAATCAAAACACTACAGATTTTCTTTAGGTTTGAGGTATTTCAGGAGTCAATTTAGAAGGACAGCACTTTTTTCGCACCCTCTATGTAGTCTGAAAGAGAAATGGGACTGGAAACGACGGAACAATAACCGAAATGCAGTAAAGTTTCGCAATATTCCCAAAGTGCTCTATGCAAGCGCCCTGCTACAGTACGAATCCAAAATTGTTTACTAGGTGCCTACAGAAATAACACTACGACATCCGAAGGAGTAAAAATGGGGAATGAGTGTGATTTTCGCAGTCAGTAATCAAGGGACATTAGGACGGAAATTGAAAGAAAGCGGATCTATCTGTTCTCGTCTAGTTATCTGACCTCAACTTGACTCAAGGTAAAACCTCATCGCCAACTATCAAGTCAAGCCTATTGGGTTTCTGCGCAGTTTGAAAGTTTGTCTCAGTATTTGTACTTTTATTGACTTTTATAGCAACAACGCGGTACAGTAGTAAAAGCTAGTCCAAGACGAAGGCGGTCGCTTATGTACTCGAGGCTAGCGCGGGTGCGAAAAATGAAGTGATGAAAGATGCTCAAACATGCCGGTCGCAATCGCATCGCATACTAAACCAACCGCCTTCGTCACGTCACGGAAGAGCTGTAGTGCATGATGCACGTGTTATGCCACTTGTAAAGTTGAAAGCATCAACCTTATAACTACAGGGTGTCCCAAAAAAATGTGCACAGTGTTTGATTGTAAATAACTCTCTTGTAGTGAAGTGTTTCGAGAAGCTTTAGGTACCGTCTAGTAGAGCGAGGTTCAAGTTAGGTTTACAGTGTAGAGCGAATTGTTGATCGCTCATTCTTACTGTAGGAGTACGGTAGAAACTTTAAACATATGATGTCACTGTGAAAAAAGCGGCCGTTTCAAAAATTTTCAAAAAAATGAAATTTTCAAAAAAAATGTGGAAATTTGCGCAATAGGGTTTTTATGGTCTCTGAGTTCAATACCCAACTCTTTACAAGGTTGAGAAGCTTTCTAAACGGTGTAACCACACTTTTTTTGAACACTCAAAAAACGTCTGCTACTGCTTACCTCTCCTAATTTTTAATGAAGCATTACGAAGAGTTGCGAACTTCACATTTAGAATCAGCAACTCTAGTTAGCCCAGTGTGAGAGTTTTCAGGTTGTTTTTTTCCTTTTGGAACAAAATATGGCCTTTCATGGCTTAAAACCCTCTTCAAAGTTTCTACCGTAATCCTACAGTAAGAATAAGAGATCGTCGATCCGCTCTACACTGTAAATCTAAGTTGAACCTCGATCTACAAAATGGTACCTAAAGCTTCTCGAAACACTTCACCACAAAAGAGTTATTTACAATCAAACAGTGTGCACATTTTTTTGGGACACGACACCCTGTATAATTACGGTTACATCAAGCTTATTTTTCATGTCTTGTATCAACGAAATCACATAGCTCTGAATCTACTGACTTTTTTCTCGAAAAATGTTCGCAGGCAATTAGTTCAAGATATCTAGTACATCCATTGTTCTTTGTAATTCCAATGTACATTCCGCACATAAATAGTCCCAGTACATAAAATGTACTCGGTTTTATGAGTTTTATGAGAGGCAAGCTACCTCGTGAAGGACATTTACGCCTTCTCAGGATCAATAAAAAGCGAGCATAAAATCTTCTGGGATTAATATAAAGCAGAAACAATTTTATATATGTTTGTTATAAGTTTAATTTTTAAGTTGTGCATCGCGCGATCGTTCAAATCGCAACATTTACGCGGCTTGGCGATTTACCCTATGTCTACAGATTAGATGTGCGCAGGTCTCAAATGCATATATGCATAGCTTCCGTAAGTTGTTGCAAGCGCATCAAGTCTGGTCCAAGCAAAGCGCGCTTACAACCAATTATGAAGAGTCGTTTGCCAATCGCGCAGCTACTGGATCTCGCGAGGTATGTCTTAAGTCTTGGAAAGGCATCCCAATTATAACAATGCCGTCGCCTCGTTTAATTTAAATCATCGAATTCGCTAAGGTTAGCGAATCGCGACAATTTCACTAAGCGAGTGTGACCTAGCAAGAAGCAGTTAGCGAAGCGTTGCGTTGTCAACTAGCACAATTATGGGCAGGCATGCCTTTGATGTATGACAGCAGTCTTTTCGCAAAATTCGCGACGAAAAGGATCGCTGCAGGTATGCCTAGCCATCCCTGAATAAAGTCTTCATAAAATATAGTTATTTACCATCTCTGAGTCTCAGACTCCGTGTCTTTCTAGCTCTCTCTCGCTAACATTACTGTTTTGCCTCAAAAAAAAATTCTGGTTGCCTTTCTTATTAAGCTTTCTTTTCTAATGATCTATATCTACACTATTGAAATTTTGTGGAAATGATAGACTTAATCAGCCGGTTATACTGAATATACACTTTGGTCTAAGTTTGTGCGGTACATTTTTAGATTGTTAAAGTATGTATATAACAGAGTATTAAATTATCTACTTTTTGTTTTCATTCTCTTACCTGCAAATAGCACTTTTTTACGTTAAAAATAGTCTCCTTCCTCGCTATAGTAGGCATAGAATCACGCTGCGTACAAGAATTGTTCTCGTGCTCGCTTCGACGGAAACATACTACGGTACAAGACTAGTTCTCCCCAGTACGCAGTTTGTGCCGCTCTTTATCACAACGCCATCTTGAGCGAATAAGCAAGATTTACGAGCCTAACTCGTTTGCATTTACTTAGTCTCTTTGTTTTCAGAATACTGTGTCGTGATATGGACTCGTTTTTCGTCATTTAAGTACTTTGCATATTCCCTCTCAGCTTGCTTCAGCTAAACACTTTGGGTGTTTTGGTAAACTGCATGACTTATACAGCATCCCTCATCATTGTTTCTCCGAATTTTCCTCGGAACCCTTCCACATTTTTTGAAGAAGTAAAGTTTGTTCACACTTCTCAATTATATAAAAACGTGGCGTCGACCGCATCTCTTAATTTTCTCGCGAAGCTTGATTATCGTGCGCAGACACTTTAATGAGCTATGTTGCCTGGGATTCATTTATGCCTTCAAAGTCTAATAGTAGACTGTTCTTCTTGTAATGTGGCGCCCATCGCTGCTTTTATGTTTGCCGATTTGTTAGTCAATGGTGACCTTGGGGGTAGGTAAAGCCGTGTTAAGCTTCTTTCTCGCAATGTAACTTTCCTAATAGTGCTCGCTTTCACTACGTAGTCAAGGGTAAGTCACGAAGAAGGAACATTTTTCTTATACTCAAACTGTGGAATTTCTAAAATTGTTCAGTGTGTCAAATCTTCAAAAAGCTGTGCTTGAGAATCCTTCAAGTAGATCGAAGAGCTATCAGAGCTTAGATCGCTCAAGTACCAGTCATTGAAAAAGGGGCGCTGAAATAGAGCGGAGTCGGAGCATTAGGCTCGCAGTTCAATTTCAGTTGTCGGCTGTTCTTTTGAGAGCTCGGCCCAACCTAGGTTGCTTTCTTGAGTTCTTTCTAATCGTTGCTATCAATGCTTTAAAGAGACTCAAGAATAACTTTGCACGACAGGGATGCCTTCTAGTTTCAATTCCATTCACATCACCCAATGCAATCCACAATTCGCAGAGAGATCTTCGCCTATAGTACCTTTTACATCCAAGTCTCTTCATCTTTGTGATGCTGCTTAAAAAGTGTAGTCGATAAAAAAATAGAGATATTAGCAACCTTTTATGCCCCTTTAGTACTAATAAGGTGACTTTACTATGACCCCCTTCGTAAAGGAAACTGAATATCAAATGTTCGATACATGGACCCCTGTGTATCTAAAAAATTGCCGATATAACAAAGATATCTTTATGCCTGTGTTTTTAGTTAGTCTCTAACACGTTACCTCATATTTCATGTGCTTCACCAGCCTAAGCGAAAAAAATAAAAGAATCTGATAAGGTTAAGTTCCGCTCTTGAAAGTATCTTGACAGCATTATCTGAAGAAATAGTGACTAATCTGAAGAAACGAGAAATGAAAAATTTTAGCTGAATGAGAGTCTGTGGCAGCTGGTATTATGGAAGCATCTCATGCTCCTCAAAAAAGATTTTAGTGGTTTCTTCAATCGGGTCGATCTTTATGCCAGCTTATGTAATTGCTCAAGGCTACTAAGTACGTCAGTCATCTTAAAAAAACAACCTATGCGAGGCCTTGAGTAATGCAGTAAGCCTGCCCATCTCCTTTTCAAATATTATCCCTGTCCATGCGTACTATATTGCGTTATAACTTTGTTTCCACTCAGAACTGACCTTCTCCTTTTGACTGCTCGTTTCATTTATTATGTTTCCGAATAAGCTCAATGCTTATCGTAGATTTCACATAAGAATTTTCCGCACGGTAATGCTCATGCTACTTGCTAAAAAAAGGACCTACAAGCTGAAACTTTCCGTCTGCACCATTTTCCCTAACTTATCTAAATCAGAGTGAACGAAACGAGCACTGCAGCTCGGAACAACGCACAACAAAAAGATAGTAGTCATTTATGACCAAGGACCTCATTATAAAACAAAAAATAACAAGCGACAGCGATATGAAACAAAGAAAATCTGCGATTTGAACTGGAGATTGCCGTGTATCGCAGTGGGTTTGCTCTAACTTCAAGTTCAGATCAGTCCAAAAGGTGTAATCAGCATTGCTGATTTCGCATGCTGAAACTACCAGTTTTGATTAATTAGGACGTGAGTAAATGTTGAATCGATGTTGTTTAACCGCTTACGGGTGAAGAAACAAATAGGCGCAAATAGACTCCTCCTCCGTGGATGCTGCCTCTATTAGCAGAATTGATTTTGAACCGCGTGGGAAACTGTCAGCGAAGGCTCCGCCTCAGACAGTGTGCTTTCTTTTCTTATAGTTATGTCACGAACATCATTTTGACTCTTTGCGTCAATAATCAGTCTGCTGCTTACTGCCAACAAAAGTTGCAATTTTTAGAATGGCTTTAATGCCGCATATGCGGGACGCTAAGTCTGATGATGAAAGCGATGAGGCGAATGACTGGCTTCCAGAGATTATAGTCGAAGAAAGCCACTTCGTGAGTTTTTTTTTCTGAACTTTTAGCAAGCATTTTTGTCAACGTTCAATGCAATGCTCATCTTCAGCCAGCTTCGCTATTTGGCTATCAGTTTGCACTTGACATAGCGCAGGACGCGAACTTCCAGCAATTGCTGAGGAATTTGAACAGTTTGGAAATGTAAGTGAAAACCAAAATGATTACGTCTGAGAAAATACTTGGTAAGCGTTTGTAAGAAACGCGATGCACAACGCTCCTGGAAATTCGACTTGAAGCACTAGCACGCTAGTCGGAAGCAGTTATAGTCAACGCTATAAAGAGTGGCAGTTTTTTTTCGAATCCGACTTTCCTTCATTCTGTTTTTTCACCTATTCATGAATTTGATAGAGCTTTATGGGGAAGATTTCCTCTAAAATCGAAAATGTTCTAATGCGGTTGTACTAGGTTGTTTCAAAAGTTCTGTCCTATTTGCGATTTTCTCATGTAAAATCTTACAACTTTTTTCAAAATCAATAATTTTGGACAAATCAATTTTTTTTTTTGAATTGAGCGTGTTTATAGCTATGAGAAGCACTGTATGCCAAATAGGGAAGACAAGCAAGAGAGAAGAGAAAATTTTTCAAATTCCGCAAGGTTTTCTTCAAAACCGTCCAGTTTGACTTACTACTGCTTCCATATGAGGATGGGCAGACAAATTTGGCTGCCATCGTTAAGTAGCCTACACTGCAGAGATTTTTTTTGCGGTAAAGAGAAATCGAGTTATTTTTGCTGCTAGAGGTTTTTGCAAGCAAATCAAAAAAAAACCATTATTTGAGCCCTCCTCCGCGTGCGAAAACATGCCACTTTCTGATATTTGATTTTTTCTTGATGTCGCAAACGAAAAAAGCCAATTGGCCGACGGCTCCTGCTTGTCCTCGCTTTATTCTAACATATGCAATATTGGATGCATCACCCGTCGCTATATGTAGATTGTTGTCGCTTGTTGAATAACTTTCGTCTTCCATCGTTAAAAAAGGAAAAGTAAGACATTCTCTACGCCGAAGGAAAAGTGTGCTTATGGTAACCCATTACACCCTCAACCATCATAAATTATTACATATTCAGTTTTACGAGTGCGGAAGTTCCCTTCATGGAAACATTTCCTTGGGCATGACTGCATTTTGGCGACTTTGGGCTCAAAATGACATCGAAGAAAAGTTGATTCTCCATGCGTCAGTAAGCACTAGAAAGAGCAGGAAAAGTACTTCTAGATGATATTTATGACAATGTCATAAGTGCAATACCCTAAAAAAATAGCTGCGTTAAAACAAGGCAATTGCAAATCGGACAGAACTTTTGAAACGCCTAGTATAGAGATAGATTTGAATGCAAATTTGAGCCGCATGTCTGGTACGCCCATATGGAAGCGAAATCAAGCACGTTTACATATGAGAAACGAAAAGGAATTGTGCTCCTCTTCGTACTTTTCTTAGGAAAATAAGATTACAATACGGGTGGCATGAAGATCAGTCAAGCATAAATCTGACTATCAAGCTACATTTCAAATGTAACTATTTCCGCACTTGCAAATCAAAACCAACATTTCTTGAAAAGGGCAAAATTACAATAATGCACGTAGACTAGCTTATCTGGGGAATAACTGAAAACCATTAAGTATTCTGTGTTTTGCGTATCGCGGCCTCTGTCACTCCTCGCAAACTTGACATGAGGCAATCCCTCAATGCTTCAACAAGCGTGTCTCCTTCATGGACGCATTGCAAGACCCTTCTGGTGTTTTCTTCGGCAAAATAGAAGAGGAATGGAGAAAATCTTATCCGATACATCTTTCAATGTCATCAAAGACAAATAGAATTGAAATATAGAGGCTTGATGCTGCAACGTTACTATCAGCTGAACCAGCCAGATTTTTTTAACTCAGCCGCAGGCACCCTCGCACGAGGCGTACATCGCCTCAGTCGGGGGGAATGAAAGCTTTAAAAAAATATACAATGATAAGGTACTATCATTAAATGGAAAACGATAAAGTGAAGAAAACGCTATACCCAATTTTCTTCTATTCTCGCGTTCTTCCCGCTTACGCAGAGTCCGCATTTTCGTGGGTTTAAATGAACCCAAATGATGCGAATGGGCGCTCATCAGCCTGCAAAGTCTAACATCAGGACAATTCAATCTACTTTCGAATCTATGCAAAACGGTGAAGTAAAGTGAGGAGATAGCAAAAAAATTGAAAAATTCGACATGGACGACAGCGTTGCTTCAGCGCGGCTCAAAAATAAATCAAGTTGTTGCCCCAAGCGGGACGAAGGAGTTCGAGTTGCAAGCCACTCATACTACTATGCTAATGCCAGCGTTACTAGCTCACCGGGTGTAAGTTACTTAAGCTGCGTAATTCAAAGGGACCTCTGGCCAATACTGTTTCTAATCACACATATGATTCATCCTTGTGCATTGGGATCTTGAAGGCAGCGCAGTGTATCACCAAGATTGGGTTTCGGGATTTTTGCGACATACAAGCGCTTCCGACTTTGTATGATCATATACGGGTTCAATTCGCGTGAAATTTCAAAAAGCTGTCCGACTGCCACTTGTTGCAACGCAGATGAGCGCTCTCGCTCTACTTCAGCTTTGATCACGGGATCAGACACATCAAAAAGGAGAGCGTTGTGGACAGAAGTGTTAGAAGGTGATAGGGGACTGACAAGTCGTACGGCGCGAGCCGAGTTGCGCTCCGCAAGCCACTCAGTGGTTTCTCAACGGAGAAAATATTGTAACAATTGGCACATGGGCATTGGCCTAATGAGGGGTGCACATTAATCGGTACTTTACCGTTATCCGGACCCATTTTTTCAAAAGTCTCTCATAGAATATGTCCTTTAGTTTAAAAACAATTTTTCATAGATTCTACGAAGACTGCCTCCCTGCCACGTGCCAGGAAAAAATCAATACGTTTTAGTCTATTTTAAGTCGTTTTTTTTTTGAAATCGTTCCCGGTGAGGTAATAAAGCATTTCTGACCATCTAAAACTTCAGTTGTTTTCTATAAGAGCAAAATTGTCTAGAAGTTTATCCCAGAACGTCTTGACTGCTTTCAGCAATAATTCAAAATTGTCTTCCTCTTCAAACTTTCCGCCATGCGAATTTAGCCAGGAGAGACTATAAGTGATGGCTTGCAGAGTATCTCGCTGCTGCTTTTTCACCGCTTGGAAATGGAATCCTAGCGCATTTCTCCATTCTGGGCAGTTCTAATCTTTTCAGTGATAATCTTTTCAATGATTCATTGGTAAAGATGATGTTATTATCACACCATCGATAGTCTAGAGACAGGGCGTCAAAAGTGAAGGTTTTTTTGAACATCTGACGTCATAAATAGTGAAGGTTGTTTGAAGAAGATTAGAGAAGAGAAAATGACGTAAAACATATATAAAAAGGAAAAGAAACTGCTGAAAACTGGATAAAAACGCTGCAATGAAGTTTGAAATCTTTCATTTGGTGGCTTTTCAAGGTGCAAGTTTTCGCCCCAGGACGCAACACGGGGTTTTGATTTTTCATGCGTCCTTTGTATATTTACCCCGCATTGACGTTCCTTTTCCTGGGATGTTGTCTGAATTCTTGCGCTTACTGTAGCAAAAATCGCCTAAGCTGTAAAAAAATCGATGCGAAAGCACTGAAACAGAACAAGATAAAGAAAAACGCGCTTTTTACGATTTTTCGCAAAAAATTCTACCATAATCGAAGAGGTAAGGGCTGGGTGGTTGTCTGCGTTATGAGTAGTAGCAAGATCTATAGAATGCACGAAAAAACCGCGTGAAAAGAGTTAAAGTAGGAGAAAAACAAGAGATTTTCGAAAACAGGGTTTTTGCCGGATTTCTCGATCAAATCAAAAAATGTGGTTCTGGAACGTTGTCAGCGTGAAAATAGAGATCAAGAGCTTCAAAATAATATATAGCTTGCTAAAATTGGGTTCGAAACAACGAAGAAAAGGGTACCAAAGCCAAATGCTCCGCGCTCCGCGTTTGGGGCAGCGAGGTAGCGCGCAGTGCGCGGAGACGCAGACGAGCAGCGGAGACAGACCAAAGCCGACGGGGCATTTGGCGTCGTAGATCTCCGCGGGGTCTTAATGAAACCCTGCAACATTATATATCATTCTGATCGTCATAACACGATGAGGAGAACTGACAACGTCCCAAGCTTTAAAAATTACTCATTAATGAAATAGATTAGCGTTTTCGGGGCGACTTTCTGCGCAAATCTAAGCGCAGTTTCTCATTTTCATCTAACTCCAACACCTTTCCTAAACTTCTGAAACTCGATTTTGGTCAAATGAGAGGTAACTAAGAAATGTTGTCCTGATTTCTGGCAAAAATCCTACAGAAACCTTCTTTTTAACGCAAAAAAGGCTATGAAAACGCAAATTCTCGGTTTCGCTTAGATAAGCTAAAGGTATTATTCCCTAAATCTGCTTCATTAACATTCGTTCCGATTTAATCAGAATAATAACACCCGGGGCGAAGCCCCGGATGACTTCTGTTTTATTTGTTCATTTCATATTGTTCATTTCTAAAATCGTTTATTTGAAAAAGGTCATTATTAAGTAAAATACAGATTGAACTTACGTCGCTAGGCAGTGCAACACAAACCCTTGGTAAAACCTGTTAAACATGTAGATGACATGTCAAATTTTTTTTGACACGTGGCAGTAGGTTAACACTCCTTGCTGTGAATTTGGGATCAAATATGGAACACAATCAGAAGAAATATCCTTCTTTGAAAAAATGGGTCCGGCTAACGGAAAAGTACCCACTAAACTCTCTGGTTTATCAAAGTATTTCAATATGTGCAAATCATAAGAAGAGTGAAGCTTCAGCAAATGTGATATCTTTGCTTCTTTAGCGCTAATCGTTTAGATGTCATCCTTGACAGCCTTTCGCATGAAGCGATGTATGAAATTGGAAAAATTCAAGCTCTCTTGTCTTTTATTTGCAAATGCCTTGCGCAGGAGCTGTAAGGATTTTCGGCTAAAAAATTGGACGCGCAATATGCTTGAACGAAACATCGGGGAGTGTCAGAGAACTACGAGATGTTTAGCTTTCATGAATACACTCACACTCACATGTGCTACTCACGAGTTCAATCTGAATCGGATTCGATGTTGATCACAAAAACCAAAGCAGCTGTTTATCCTGAAGTTTTCGAAGAACAAAAATTGCTCTGAGTTATATTATAGAGCTTGGAGGAGCAGAAAACTGGAGATGATACTTGTGGGGAAAAACTGGGGAGATGACGCGCATGGTCGCCCGCTATAGCCCAGCAAACTCAATAAAGGCTGCAAGCAGTGTAGTAGTACACTAAGATTTCGATCGCTTTCGTTCGCCTCCCAATTTAAGGCAATCCGCGTCACTTAGTGCTGCAAAGGTGCCTTCAGAAATTGAGAGTATGTAGCGTCAAAATCAGAGGTGCGATAGGGGAGCCAAGTCTCCCCCTACCTTCACTTTTGAGCTGATACAGAGTGACCACCTTCACTTTTGCGAAAATTTTTTTGTTGAATATAAAGAAGGAAAATAAGTAAAACAAACGCAAAAGGGATCATTGAAGGCATACATATGTATTGCAGTTTTAGGAACTCGCCGTCACCCATCGGAAGCGAAGGCCATCACCGCCATGGACGCATCCACTTTTCCGCCTTTCCACGAAATCGGAGAAGATAGCTTCGGGACGAATTTCGATTTAAAAAGCTATGACCAAACGGTCCTCTTTGGGGCCAACAATTGACCCAACGGCCCTTTTTAGGGCCACAGATACGATGAACACAGCGGCATAAATATTCGAAATAAACGTGTCAATGAAATGGTGTATTTTGAAGTGAAACTTAACGACACTCTACAGATTTTATTAAGTAAATTTAGTTATGTCGTACTGCGAAGAAAGTAGGTCGATCCAGGAAGTATTTGCCGAGAACCAGAATTTTGAATGAAAAAATAACCAGAAATCATGCAAAATTGCCACTGTTATAAACCAAGTGGTTGAAGATGTCAGCAACTGCGACTTCATAGGTTCTAAAGGGTAAGTGTTGCTCTAACAGATAGTGAAAGAATCGGGTCGATTTGAGCAGTGGTCGCTGAGAACGAGAATTTTGAAAAATTAGGCGATTTTAGGCTAATTTTTGACTGCTGACATTTGAACTCCTAAAACTCTTGATTGTGAAGATGTGTGATGTTGCGACTTCATAGGTTTTCTAGGGTAAGGTTTGCCCTAATAGAATATATCTTACCCGTACCAATTCATCAAAGCACCGCCGAGATCCAGGCTCTTGAAAAAGCAGGTAAAAAACAGCTTTTTGAACTTCAACAGCTCGTAACTTCTCCAGAACTGCATGAATCATGTTGCGACTTCATAGTTTAGATTCCTCTCATCAAGGGCTTTCAGATGATATATGATATATGGGGGTTTGGGGCCTTCTTCGACGTATGACCGGGGGGGGGAGACTTTTTAGGCCAAAGTCTCCCCCTCGCCCATTTTAATGTATTGGCTGGAGGCCGCCAGGGGAGACTTTGGCCTAAAAAGTCCCCCCCCCGGGCATATGCCGTAAGAGGCGCGAAACTCCCACATGTTATATATCATCTGAAAGCCCTTGATGAGAGGAATCTAACCTATGAAGTCGCAACATGATTCATGCAGTTCTGGAGAAGTTACGAGCTGTTGAAGTTCAAAAAGCTGTTTTTTACCTGCTTTTTCAAGAACCTGGATCTCGGCGGTGCTTTGATGAATTGGTACGGGTAAGATATATTCTATTAGGGCAAACCTTACCCTAGAAAACCTATGAAGTCGCAACATCACACATCTTCACAATCAAGAGTTTTAGGAGTTCAAATGTCAGCAGTCAAAAATTAGCCTAAAATCGCCTAATTTTTCAAAATTCTCGTTCTCAGCGACCACTGCTCAAATCGACCCGATTCTTTCACTATCTGTTAGAGCAACACTTACCCTTTAGAACCTATGAAGTCGCAGTTGCTGACATCTTCAACCACTTGGTTTATAACAGTGGCAATTTTGCATGATTTCTGGTTATTTTTTCATTCAAAATTCTGGTTCTCGGCAAATACTTCCTGGATCGACCTACTTTCTTCGCAGTACGACATAACTAAATTTACTTAATAAAATCTGTAGAGTGTCGTTGAGTTTCACTTCAAAATACACCATTTCATTGACACGTTTATTTCGAATATTTATGCCGCTGTGTTCATCGTATCTGTGGCCCTAAAGAGGGCCGTTGGGTCGCAGTTATTGGCCCTAAAGAGGACCGTTGGGTTAGAGCTCTTCAGTTGTCCGAAGTCATCATGAAGCTTTGCTCTATCGTAGAAAGTGTTGAGGCGTATATGCGTCCATGCCGATGATGACCTCCAGTTCTCGCAGAAGGCGACGGCGATTTCCTAAAAATAAACTACATAGAATATGCTCTCAATACTTTCTTTTGCGTTCGTTTTGCTTAATTTCCTTTTTTTCAGTTTCAGAAAAAAAATCAATACCCAAAAGTCCGAAAAAAACCCAAAAAACCCAGTTCAAAGTCCGTCCTGTGCCCCCCCCCCCTCTCTACCCCCACCACCGGTCAACGTTTTTGAGAGGTGAGTGTCCGGCACTACCACCTTCATTTTTGCTGCCCTGTGGTAGCTGCGACCCCCCCCCCCCCCCCGGTCGACATTTTTGGGAGGTGAGTGTCCGGCACTACCACCTTCACTTTTGGCAGCCAGTGGTAGCAGGGACCACCTTCACTTTTGGGGGACCCGGCTCCCCCTATCGCACCTCTGCCTGTGCCCCCCCCCCCTCTCTACCCCCACCATCGGTCAACGTTTTTGAGAGGTGAGTGTCCGGCACTACCACCTTCATTTTTGCTGCCCTGTGGTAGCAGGGACCACCTTCACTTTTGGGGGACCCGGCTCCCCCTATCGCACCTCTGCCTGTGCCCCCCCCTCTCTACCCCCACCATCGGTCAACGTTTTTGAGAGGTGAGTGTCCGGCACTACCACCTTCATTTTTGCTGCCCTGTGGTAGCAGGGACCACCTTCACTTTTGGGGGACCCGGCTCCCCCTATCGCACCTCTGGTCAAAATATGTGAGGTCAACCACAGTAATGGATACAGTTCAGTAATTATTGCTGTACTGAATCAGTATCCACAAAGGAATTCAGTATTAAGTAGATGAAGTCGTTGACATGCAAGGATGACATATTTAATTTGAGCAGTATGAATTTTTTTGTCGTCAACAAATTTCTGGACTATCTATCTTCAGATACTGTGACGCTCCACATGAAAGCTTCTACGAACCTACGTCAAGCTGTTGTATAGATGTCTCTATTGAAGAAGCGTTCAGCTCTCCTCAGAAGATCTCCACCAGGCGCCCAGTAAGAATTTGAAATCATGTTTTTATTCAATACATCTGTTGTTCTTAGCTTGAGACATCCAACAATCGCCAAATAACTTTGAGAACTCTGAAGAGAATGTGGTGCCGGCTCGTTGCTCATTATTTTGAATGGGTTGCTGGAGTGCCGGAGTTGCGGTTGATGGATGCGCAACAGAGAGTGAGCGCAGCGGAATTACCCAGAAGCTGAAACCGTCATAGTGACTAAATTTTCAGATAAAGCTGGTAACTCGTCAGCTTTGCAAAATTATCTGCTTGGTCGTGTCTTTCTGGACATATCAAAGAGGAGATGAAGGGATATTTTTTGGAAGTGGTCTCAGCTTCTATCCGAAAGAGGAACACGATCATGTGTGAGTTTTGTGAGGAAACGTCTTGATATTTGTGTACCACAATGCCATGCTCAGACTGTCTAATTACCTCACTGCTCTTGCCAATGTTATACAATCGCACGTCGTCACAACATTTCAACAGATAGGCGTTACAAGAGAAGAGTACCTGCTTTTAAAGCTAGTCGCACTTTTTGAGCGTGAGTTATTAATATCATATTGTATTAAACTAGACTCATATTAAGCTATCTCTTCGGTCAAATCTTGATTTGTCACTCCAAAACGAGTAATGTTATGCTATCATAAGTTTTCGACTTCTGATAATGTATCAAGGTTTTGATGAGAGCTAAGCGGCTAAAGCACCACAAATAATGTGAATTTGTTCAAATGCTGAGTTTACTAGGATTAAAAGTGTGTAATGGACAATACCTTTCAAAAAGGATCGCCTAATGGCCGATAACAGAAGTCCCACGCAAAATGTATTGAATGTTTGATCGCTAATATCAGTCTTGCATGAAAAGTTTCTACAAGTCTTCAGCTACCATATTGTAAGGCAACCTAGGTTTGCGACATAAAACACTTTTCTCTTTTCACTACCGTAGTAGCAGAAACTTTCGAAAGAGTTTAGCTCCAGAGCCTAATCACTCCGAAAAACTATTCTGAGTAACATTGTTATGAGGTTAAAACAAGCATTGATGACTTCGTATAAAAGTTTTTTCCCGTACCGTAATCTTCAAATCAATAATCAGATCGGGTATATTTAATAGTGTTTTTCCCAATGTTTGTCAAAAATTCAGTGTATTCCAAAATAATGTGCACAATGGATCGTTAATAAGTTTCTTGCTTTAATATCTTTCGTCTTCAAGTACTATTCTGTAGAGCTGACTTGAGATTAGATTTACAACAAGGAGCAAACAGCCAATCTCGCTTCATTGCAGCAGGATTACGGTAGGGACTTCGACAAAAATTTCAGACCACTGAGGGAGTCACATATCGCCTCAGAAAGAAAATCAAACAAGCCAAAAACTCTTATATTAGATTGGCGTGAAAGCTCTTGCGTAATTCAAACGGAATTTAGCAACTTTTCAAAAACTAAATCGAAATCTACAGTTTGGTATCCTAAAATAATAGAAGGTTTTCGCTTTAGATGTTCAAGCATGGCATTCTAAACCAAGAATGAAGCTTTCCAAAACAGCGTTTCAAATTTTGCGATTTTGAGTTTGCTACCAGAAAATTGCGGAGGGTTGCCAGCTAGTCCAAAAAAAATCCTCAAACATATCTTACCCAGCAAAAGTCCATATGTTACTTTGGCATTCTCCAACTTCATATGGAGATGCAAAAACAAAAAAGTCCTGAAAGTTTCTTTATAGAAACACAGTCTGGAACCAGAAATTAGACATAGTACCTACTTAAAACTGACGTTTTTTGAAGCGTTAGAAAGTGTCACCGCTGAAAAGTGCAATGGTGAGAGGATTTTCTCATGTAAAACAATATTTTTCACAAATTTTTTTGCTTTTGTGTTGCCTAGAAGATTGAAGCCTATAACGTTTGAGCTTTTGCTATGCAAGTAATTGTTGCAGATTTTTTGGACCAGCTAGCGGGGCTCTCCACGGTTTTCTAGCATTAAATTTAGAATTGCAAGGTTTGTGACGCCGTTGGAAGCTTCGTTCTCGGTGGTTAACTCAAAGAATGTTAAGCTTCAAAATCTGTTTGGAGCACTCTACTAATTTTAAGGTGCCGAACTATGAATTTGAGTTTGTATTTGGAAAGTTATTAATTCCGCAAAAACTTTCGCGTCAACCTATATTAGGCTAATTTGAGTGACTGATTTTGAGATTTTCACTTCACTGGATGCCTCTATCCTAGTTTACACCAGGTGAACAGTAGCAATCGTTTTTCCAACATTTGTCAGAAAAGTGATTACACCGTCAAAAGGCTGAAAACAGCTTTTGTAGTAAAATCAGCATGCTCGGAAACCTTGGTATACGATTTTGCCAGTTTCTGTGAAAAAAAAACTTGTCAAACGGCCTGCTTATTATATATGGCGATTGATTATTTGTTTCATACCGAAAATATATCGAAGCTAGCACTACAGAATAATATCTAATAATGGACGAAAGACATCAAAACAAGAGAATTAGCAGCGATCAAATGGTGTGCACATTATTTTAGGACGTCGTGTATGTATGGCATTTGAACTGCTTCACACACGTACAAAGTTATTCATTAAAATGGACAAAAATTCTACGTTGTTTCAGACGGTTTAGAGTTTTTGGCAGCTAATTTGCAAGGTCATTATTGTGTGGAAATTGGAAACCGTAAAACCACAGTAATAGAAACCGATGACCGATTCGTTTTGTACTGCAAATCTGAGTTAAATTTAGTTTTGCAATATGTTATCTAGAAACCATTTTTATGCAGAAAAATTTTCATACCTGATATTACATACTAGGTTATTCCGAAAGTTCTGTCCAATTTGCAGATTTTCTGATTAAATATGTTATAACTCTCTTCAAAATCAACACTTTTACACAAATTAAATTTGGTTGAATCAAGCGAGGTTAAATCTATCTTTAGCAAGTATGCCTTGTAAAGAAAGCATTTAAGGGAAGAGATGATTTGGAGTATGCAAAGTTTTCTTCAAAACCATCCACTTTGACGTACTAATGCTTCCATATAAGGATACACGGAGGTATTTGGCTTACGCCATTGAACACCCTATACTTCTTTTATGGTTAAGGAGAATTTGAGCTATCTTTGCTGCACAGCAATTTTTACGAGCAAATAAAAAAATCCATTATTTGAGCTCTCCTCCGCGCGCGTAAATATGCCGAATTTTTGACATTTGAATTTTTCTTGCTGTCACAAACGAAGAGAGCTAACTGGCCGATAGTCCCCGTTTGTTCTCGTTTTGCTCTATCATATGCTATTGAGTACACCACCGTTCACTATACGTAGATTGTTGTTAATTCTTGAATAAATGAGTTTCTCTTTCACCCTCAAGAAAAACTGAGGAAGTAATACGTTCGCTTTGTTGGAGATAAAGTGTGCTTATGTTAGCCCATTACACCCTGACCCTAGAATTTTACATATTTAATTTCGCGAATAATAATCCCCGTCTACAAATTTTTTCTTGAGCATGACTGCATTTTGACAGTTTGGCTTTTGGGCTTGGACATTTATGACTGAGAAGCTGTTTTGTCAAGCGTTAGAGCGCACTAGAAAGAGCAAGAAAAGCGCTTTCAGCTGATTAATCATATCTTTGCAACAAATACAAAACTCCAAGAGAATAACTGCGTCGAAAAGAAGCAACTAGAAATCGGACAGAACTTTACAACCTAGTACTATCCGTACATGTGGTCAGTACACAGACTAACCATTCCATAGTTTTGAAAACATCACGAAATCGTTCAAGTGTTTCTAAATGTTTTTTTGAGCATGCTTATGTACAAAGGTGGTGCTTTATCTACTTTGAATAGGCTTAGCCTTAAAGGCAGTGCGTCGGCAGAGTGAGACCCGTGGCAAAAGAAGGTCACAGGGTAGGAGCCCCCATAATGGAACCTATGGGCCAAAGTTCGGTCTTTCTCTGCCACTTTTAACCCCCGAAATTTCAAAGCGAAAGCAGCGCTCATCTCCTGTCCTCTCCGAACCCGCCCACCCCATGGACGAGTTTTTTCCACGGTCAGAGCGCCAGCCGCAATGCTATAAGCATGAGGTCCCCCAACGACTCTGCGTCTTCGCCATGACGGGCTTCGCGTTCACTCGTCCATGGGGTGGGCGGGTTCGGAGAGGACAGGAAATGAGCGCTGCTTTCGCTTTGAAATTTCGGGGATTAGAAGTGGCAGAGGAAGATCGAACTTTGGCCCATAGGTTTCATTATGAGGGTTCCTACCCTGTGACCTTGTTTTGCCACGGGTCTCATTCTGCCGACGCACTGTCTTTAAGCACCTCGCTCTTTGTTCCTACACTACAGATGCATTGACCATTGCAGCATTGCATGTCCGTTTTCCACTAGCTGATGGGTTGATAGTCGAAAACGCATTGACGAAGTATCGCACAGCAATGGTAAATCACATCAAATATAGTAATCCACAACTTGATCATGAAGCCGTAATGACCCGCATTTCGACATTGTTTGGAGTGGTGCCTTACTTAGAGGTAAGTCCTCGTCAGATAGCTTACTTTATATCTCCTACAATATATTTCAGTTACTCAGTGAACTTGACAACATGCATTTGACGAACTTGATAATGCGAAACAATGGAGACATGCAAGGACGACTTACAAATGAAATCCATGTGAACTCATTAAGAATTGACTGAGATTACCTGTAATTTGTTGATCTCCGATGCTGTGAAAATCACAGTCTTCCAGTATCCTACAGCGTTTTATCATAATTATCCTTCTGGTTCAATTTTTTTGAATTACAAGATACTTCAAAAATTTCTGGCACTACCAGCGGCCATGTAATGCGCATCAAAAGCGCAGGTTTGAGAGCGTTCACTAACGACATCTTATTTTTGATTACTTAGTGGTCACTAGATTTGCCTTAATTGGGTTCGTCCATTCATAGTTTACTGTGCTTCCGAAGTACTTTACAAAACTCTCAAAATATTGTTTTAGTTGCCAGAACTGAAAATGTCAGCTTCTAAAATCATTCGAAATGTGGCTTTACTTTGCACCTGTTATTCTAATTCGCAATTGAATCGAGCGAATTTAGAATTTATCAATAAATATTATTTGTAAATTTATGCAGATCTGTGTTGCACTCTTACCGCAGTAGATTGGACCAATTTATCAATTAATACAAATTGATTTAACAAAGTTTGTGTATATTCTAATTTATAATAGTGGGTGCATTTAGTTTGATAGTGTAGCAAACAATCAAGCATAATTGCACCTACATTAGATGAAAGTAGATATTTTGCAGGGTAGCATCAATTTATTAGCCTCATCTTTGATGCCAGTAGATCGGTAGATTCTACCTATCAGAAAAAGTTTTTGCGGCAATTTTTCGATGTTCATTATCCGTTTATCTGCCTCTACTTTCTGACGTAAATTTTAGAGGCCAAAAAAGTTGATAAGAGGGGGAGTTGTTGGATTTGAATAGATAAATCAGCTTTTGTTACGTCAGTTTCTAAATCAAAATGTGACAGAGGCATGTAACACCACTGGAAACTAGCGCTTTTCCACTTACCGCTTTTATAGAAAAACCATCAAGCACAGTTTGTCCTTCAAAATGATATTAATGTATCCAGCCCGACAATATTAAATGTTCCTAACCGAACTGACATTTCTCAAGATCAACAATGGAATGTACTGCACCATTTTGTGCTTATCTGCATGTTTGTAATAACGTTCAAAAAAGATGTTTTTTGCCGGATTTTGATAAACTGAAGTTCTAATTCTAATTTATACTCATATCAAGGAGAGAATGTCAAAATTCAAAGTAGAAACTCTTGAATCTTCCTGTGCATCAACTAAGCTTCACATTTACTCTGAGTAGTACACTAGCTTACAGAAGCTTTTGCGACGTAGCTGCAATTGATAAAAACAAAAACTGAACTAAGAAAAGTGAACCAAAGGGAGTCAATGGATTTCAAAGCATGCAAAATGTAGTTATATTAACATGGATACCCTAGCAATAATAATAGTGAGGTGATCAAAAGGTGAGGTTGATTGTGCGAGATTTCGGTGTTTCCAAATCGCTAAAAGTTCGTTAAGAAATTTTTGAGAAGCATGTATTCAACTATAGCATTGTCGATTACTGTATTAGATTGGTGCAAAAGTATTGAGCGCTCTTTCTAAAGAGCACCACTGCGAATATCAAAATTAGATAGAGCATAAGCTATAAGTCGTGATCTATCTAGCTCATGCTAAAATATTAGGTTGTTACTAAGTCTTGTTAAACTTTAAATTCCTACGGCAATAAGTCATGCACCTCATAATCTTTACAGGATTCCGGGGCACCATTCGATAGAGCAAAGGAAGCTCTACAAGATATTATGCAAAAGTTCGCACCAACTTCGACCCATTGTAAGTAAGCATCAAAAATCTGATTCGTACTCATTGAACACCTGAATGGAAAAAGCTAAATTCGGTGTTTTCAAAAACTAGGGCTTCTGGAAAGCAGAATTTACGGTTATACTTCTAAGGGCTTTTAGTACACAATTACACGAATAGAAACAGCATAGCTTCGTTTTGTAAAAACAAGAAAATTTTCGTTTTCTCGACTTCTAGATAAGCAAAAAAACAGCAACGGTACATATAAATGTCTGATGTGGTGTGCAATCTGCTTGAAGAAGTTGGAGATGCGGAGGTTTTTTTTTCAACGAAAATATGAATTTTCTTAATTTTTTGAACCTTCAGTGCGACTCACGTTCTGGATGCAAACTTACGGTGGTTCGGAGCAGGTGCGAACCTTTGCACATTACCTTGTAGAGGTTGCTTTGCTCTATCGAATGGTACCCTGGAGAACTATTAAAATTTTGAAGTCACTACTTATCGTCGTAAGAAATCGAAGTGTACTTATGTAACAATCTAATAAAAGTCAAAATCGTGAAGTATGGCTGCCTTAAAAACCGGATCCTTGCTGAAAAAATCTTGCAAGCTTCTCACTTGGTCATAACAATGAATTTTGTTGCCCCATAAGTTCCACATATTTGACTTCTGACCGACATAAATCATTTTATATTCCTAGCAGAGGGCGGGGTATTATTTGATAAACAAGCTTGCAAGATGGCGCTTGAAAGGTGGGCACCACTTGGTCCGCTTAGATCGCAAGCCAAATAGCAAATTTTTTACTCGCTCAAGCGTATGCTCTCCTTATCAGATATTTACAGACACATTCACCGTTTTGTTTTGATGTCTAGAAATTGAGAAAAAGGAATAAAAACTTTGCCTGTAGTGGTTCCGAGTTCCTCCCAAATACGTGGTCATACAGACTAATCACTTAGAAACGATGCCACAAGATTACAATGTAGCTGCCCTACTTTTTTTGAGGAATATCAATTTGAAGATTCGAATATGAAAAGACTGATGGGACAACTGGTGGTAAAAATGTGGGGGACTTCGCGGATGCAGTTGCCGGTTTGGTTTTCGGAACAATCAGGTTGGCCGAAAGATGTCGCACCGTATTCAAAAACTTATAAATTTTGAGTTTCACAACCAAGTTGCTTGCTTCCATTTTTGTTTGAAAGAGCAGATCGTTTTCTTCATAAATTGCATTACTGGCTTCCTTGGGCATACACGTGGTTAGAAGCGGTAGAAGAAAATTACTCAAAATTTGAATTTTTTGTGTAGGGTCATAAGAAATCCGAAAGTTGCAGTGAAAATCGGAGCTATCAGTATTATAGGTTCTTACTTGCTCTTCCTATATGTGCAAAGTTTTTGCTGATTCAGAGTCTCTATTAACACGTTGACGACAGTGCCGCGCACCGACCGCACCGCGCAATGGTGCGCGGCGGCCTTAAATTCAATACTATCTGTCCAATCCTCTCAGTTTTTGTTCATATAATCAACATAGGCTCAGATGTACTTCAAGTATCAGCCCCGCCCCTTTAGGCAAACTCCGCCCACTTTTATGCCTCTCACAAGGATTTTTGTCCACAAAAAGCATGGATGAGGCTGTAGATGAACGCAAAGACTTCAAGTAACTTCTAGCCAGGCCCCGCCTACCGTCAGGCAAGGTCCTCCCCCTGAGTGGCAAGCTCCGCCCACTTTTCAAAAGTTGCGGAAATCGCATGAATTCTTGAAATTTGGGCAACTTCTGACATTTTTGATCGAGCGGGCGGAGCTTGCCAGGGGGCGGGGATTGCACATTTTGTACTTCGTGCATGGATGCATGCATACATACATGGGCCACGCGTAGGGATGCATGGAAACGTCTCTTCCACAGGGACAGACCGCAAACAAATGACTCGTCGTCAACGTGTTAAAAGTTATGATTTTCGAGCAAAACAAAAGGGCGAATTTAATTTATTTTAGGATTTTTCTCGTAAATCATGACTTTTCATAAAATGTTGAAACAGAACGAACTTCGCACAGTTAGAAAGAGGCAGGTAATAGAACCTATAATACTGACAGCACCGGCGCGCGCTTGTATTTGCTAGTTTTCCGCCACTACATTTTTCCAATTAGCAGCCGTGAAAAAAATTGCTGTCAATGCTTAAAATGAATTCTTTTGTATATGTGCATGACCAAGTAAGAGGGAGGTCTTTAGGATTTTTCTGAGTTGAGATCCAATCATGATTTACACAATCTTCTTAGGATCTGGCTTCATACTTCAAGTAGGTTATAATTAAGGCCGTTGTTGGTATTTTTGTAGACCATGCGTTACTCTATCCAGGGCCCAGCAGGTGGGTGGCAAACGGACATTGGTGAACCGACATCGCCTTTGCCATCATCGGTTTTTTACGATTTCCCACTTGGACCCGCCAGCTGCGTAAGTGCTCGCTGGGAGCGCGCTTTCTTCCTCAAGAGGACCGGCTTCGTTGTTAGTTCGGATTCCAATAAGAAGGAGAGGAGGACTTTTGGAACAAAAATAGCACTATATTCTAAACATTAGGTGCAGAACAAATTAATGTAAAAATTCTGGAAAACTTATGTAAAATGGAAATTTTGTTTAACTCAGGTAGGCAGTTGTGCCCATCTAATTTGAAAAAAACTTAAGCACATCCTCTCTTCACACAAGTTTTCCATAATTTTCCATACTTTGTTCCTTAGTCCAACTGCGCATACACACAAAATTTCACGCCTCGTCATCTTTGCAATGCAAATGAGCAATTTTAACACTTTGTGTTAGAGAGTGGTTTTCAGAAAAAAGCTTGCCACAACCTTCAGTCACATAGGTTTTCCACAATAATCTGCATTGAGCTCCTCCTAATCCTATTCGTTTATACTCCAAATTCTTAGTCATACCGTTATGTGTGCGCTGTAATCGAGACATTTAATTACAACAACGAAGAAGATTTTGATTTATGGAGATTAGGAGTAAGCAAGATAGTGTTTTTGCACGTCAGTTGTGTGGTAATTTGTCGAGAGAGTATTATGTACATATAGACGTATATCTACAATACTTCCTTGCTTTCTATCCAAAACGATTTCTAGCTTGACATTTGCCCATCTCGTACCAAACCCTGGCTCTACGGAACAATGTCTCCATACATTTTTCATATTTACTCTGCGGCTATAGCATGGCGATCATTACTTCTGAACCAACCTGACTCAAGTTTGACAAGCACATACTCCTAGGTAGAAAACTCCTGTATTGAAGGAAATTCTCTATAAAGTTAGAACAATACGTCCACACTCTCATGGTGACAAAAAGGTTTCACATCGCCAGTCACTCATACCTGACATTCAGAGCAGAGGTGTTTTGATCTGTCACGCTTTAGCGAGTTTGTGCATCCATAAAGAGGCAAGCAACTGATAGGAGAAAAAAGGAAATTTTACACAGGCAAAACACTTGCTAAAGCCCTTAACTTGCCGCCACCTTGCGGCAAGCCTTGCAAAATTTCGGCTCCCGTCTTCATTTCTGCTTGAACGGAAACCTTTAAATGCGATAAAGAATGTGTGCATCTCGTTCCAAAAAGCTTTTTCCACACGAAGCCGTCGACTGAAACTTGTTGAAAGAGCGCCTTCGATTGAAAGTGACGTATGTAAAGTAAAATTACACATGTATTTCATCACATGACCAGGCTGCACCCTGAGTGCTATGATTCCGAATGCGGCAAAATGCTTTACCTTAGATCGACATGAATAGAAGTGGGCAAGGCTACCATTTTCAAAGCATTGAGCCTGATTTGCTCCATTTGGGGCACCTGACGTGTGGTTAAACCCAGTAGTAAAGCTCGGTCAGTCTAGAGAATTTGAGGCGGACCTAAGGTAATTTACGGCAACAGCGCAGTATCAATAATGCCATTAGTCTAGGTGCGCTCTGTAGAAAAAAATGACCATATATGCTTCAAGAAGGCAGATTTGTGCATTTGGTGGAAAACGTAGACCACAGCGTCTCAAGCAACAGGGACATGGTTCGGGACAGTTTGCGTCATCGTTTTTCCTAGGTCGGCGTGCAATCTCTTATAGGGCGGCTGTCAAAAAACCTGGATGGTAACCCCTACCAGGCATTCGCTTAGCAATTAAGGAGATATTATACAAGGAGTTCGCAATATTTTAACATGAAAACCCTTAAGAAATCACGCTTTTTCGAAAAAAAAAATAGAATGATAAAATTTCATGATACCGGTTTTGAGCAGTTTCCTAGAAAAATGGAAGCACCTCTTTTGTGAGACAGACCTTTCTCCTACATATCCTTGCAACTGCAATAAGCCGCTCATTGGTCCTTCTATCCGAAGGCCTCCAAAATTTTGCAGTTGTGCACTCTTATACAGCAGCGTTAAGACAAATAACGTGTATTGTGAATCACTCACAAGCAGTTTAGAAATCTTTCTCTGCGCTCCATCGTTGGCGCACTATCTCGTGAAATCAACTTAAAGCGTACGCTGCACTTACAAATTCGAGGTAAGATTGCCGCGGACCATGACTAGACACTCACCCACCAGGTCACGTTGCATTCTAAAGCATGGAGGAGCGGGCGTACGTAAGTTCATTTGGCGAAACTTATTTGAAGCGTTAGTTCATCACCTGACCTGGCCGAACTTTTCTACGGTTCTGTGCTTCTAAGGTAGAAAGGTTATGAAAACATGAGGAATGCAAGAAGAGGACAACTTTGACGATGAAAACGGACCCAGATAAGCTATTAAGTTTGAAAGTTAACAAAACTATCTCTTTTACAAAACACTTGGGATTATCCTAATGAAACGCATCAAAAATTTTTAGAGCAAATTTTGAAAATAAAAGTTTGAATTATAAATTCTAATATCAATTCTAACAGAAAGATGAGTTATTTTGAATTTCGCCATCCTTTTTTACTGAAATACTCCGTTTAAGGACAGGAACGAAATGGAGTTCTTAGGTTATAATTTTATAATTAAGAACATTATCTATTATATCAATATTATTACCCTAAGATCCCGCATATAAGTCCGCCCACAGATAAGTCCGCCCACAGATAAGTCCGCCTGCAGATAAGTCCGCTTTTTTGACAAGGAAAATTGATGAAAATGCATTCTCGCGCCGCCAAGAGCCTACAGATAAGTCCGCTTTTTTTCTGACGAAAAACAGAAGGGTGCGCAATTGTGCTGCCTTTTTTGGTCTCAAAATGGATCAAAGCAACAGATCTTTACTCAGGTTCCATTCCATGTTCATCATCATCAAAAATGTGGCTGACCGACGGTGGTTCTTCGTCTAACGACTAAATTCTTTCTATTCATAAATGATTTGCACCACAGCGCCGATGCCTTGAATTACTGGCGGCCAGACTCCTGCGCTAGCTGCAATGCCTTCGCTCGAATGTCCTTGACAAGCACTGCTCTGCTTGCTTCTCGCCTCTGCTCAACCATGCGTAGACAGTTTCCCCGATTTCCTCCACCTTTTGCTTCCCATAACGGTTCTCTTCAGTGGCATATCCTCCAAATTCTCCTTATCTGCCATCCATCTTCGAATTAGACGTGCAGAGACTTCGCAATGAGCATCTGCAGCCAATGTTCCATGTTCCAAGGCATATTCTACTGCGTTAAGCTTAAAAAGCGTGGTGTAGGGCTTCCTTCTGGTAACCATTGAGATCCGAAATACCTAAACAGCTTGAGTCACAGCATGTGAGACTATGACGGAAATATAGGGCTCTGCGTGATCGCGAATCGCTGAGTTGGCGGTCATTGCACACTGGAATCACGCGGAGTCCTATAAATTTGCGCTGATCATCGAAAGGTTTACTCTTTTACAAGAAAAGGCAGGCGGCATCAAATTTGTCTATACTGTTTTTTGTCTTGGATGTACAGGCTTAATGAAGCAACAACTGAGAAAAAGAACAAAGAAGCCTGATGCTTTCCTAGGGTTGAGCGTTTTTAAACTGTCACTCTTCCGTTCATAAAAGCATTTGACAAAAGCCGTAGTGAAAAAACAAAGCATTTGACAAAAGCCGTATGGCGTGGGTCAACAGAGACTATGTTCAGACCATGTAAACCATAGAGGAAGCAAAAAGTACAGGCAGTCAGGTTCAAGGGTTGTAACCTGTACAGGTTCAAGCGATGCGTTGAGAACATTGTCGCTTTCGAAATGAATGCTACCAATGATAAGATGAAATGATTACAGTGGTACAATGATGATACCTATTATGATTCTTTTCATCGGCAGAAATCGTTCAATTTCGTACAAGTGTCATATCTAGGAAAAGAACTCACCTATCCAGCGTACGCGATGACGAAACCGCGGCTGTATTCTCAGCAAGTAGTTGTCACTGCTTTTCAAGTCCTCAGACGGTTCCTTTCAGGCGATTTTACGGCTTGGTTTGAACCAGTGAAACAAGTGATATCCAAAACAACTTCTCTGCAGTCTTTTGTAAAACTACGAACCGTTTGTGTCCTTAAGTCTGTCAATTACTGCTGTGGAAAAGAGTATGCGCAACGATCAACGTTCTAAAAAGGCTTTGTAAGAGATGCATGTGTTGTAGCCTATATCAAAAATCCCCCCTACCTAGTATTCGCTGGCAATGGGGTGAAATCCCACCTTACTATCGTGTCATCAACTTCAACAAACAAGAAATGTTATATCTAACAAGAAAAGAACTGACCTATCCAGCGTATTGATGACGAATCCGCGACGATACTGTGAGCAAGTAGTCTGCACGGCTTGCCGAATCCTTTGGCTCTTTCTTTCAGACGAAATCGCGGCCTTGTTAAAATCTACACCGGCAAGTTACGCGGGCGGTCGCGCGCGTCTGTGCTTTTAGGCCTAAGGCCTAAGGCATACCTCGCGCGATTCCGGTCGCTGCGCGATTCGGCACAACAACGACTCTTCGTAATTCGTCGTTAATGCGCTGTCTTTGGTCAGAACTTGCTCCATTTGCAACAACTTACACAAGCTACCCAAATATGCATCCGAGAAGCGCGCACGATAAATTTGTAGAAATCTGGCAAATCGCCAAGTCGCGTGAAAGTGGCGATTCGGCCGAATCGCGTGAGGTATGCCTTAGGCCTAAGGCATACCTCCGGGATTCCGGTCGCTACGCGATTTGGCACAATAGCGAGTCTTCGTTATTCGTTGTTAATGCGCTGCCTCTGGTCAGAACATGATGCGTTTGCAACGCATATTTGGGTAGCTTGCACAAGCTACCCAAATATGCGTTCGAGAAGCGCGCACGATAGATTCGCAGAAATCTGGCAAATCGCCAAGTTGCGTGAAAGTGGCGATTCGGCCAAATCGCGTGAGGTATGCCTTAGGCCTTAGGTCTCGCTTTATCTTTAGGCGGACTTATCTGATGGCGGACTTATCTGCGGGAATTTAGGGTACTACGCCTTTGCTCTTATCCTTGTTGTGAGTTGTGCGTACGTCTTCTCGTTTTCAACCCTTCAAAGCTTTTTCACCATTTACAAGCAAATGGGATGTTGTCGAATCTCGATAAAATTTAAGAGGGTTTTGCTAGAAAATAACTGCGGCAGTTCTGGATTACTTTCTCAACGCTGTTGAAAACTTCTTTTCCTTGTCAAAAGCTTGAATTTGCTGCGTACGGATAAAAGAGACATATACCATCGGTTGTGATGCAGCACAAAGTAATAACATGAATTTTAGATGTTGAGATCTTGATGTTAGAAATGGTGAATTGTTGCATAAGTCATTATAAAAGCAAAGGTTTGCTTCTGAATGATAAATTGCATTCAACTATGATGCTGCGAGTGAACATTTTTACGTTTTGAAGGCAGCAATAACAAGCTATATGTTGCAAGATGAAGATTTAAAGAGAAGAGATGCCATGCTAAATCAAGACCATATTCTTTGTGAAGTGTTAGTGACGACTATCCCACTGTTCCCGTTCCAAGCTTGATATCGAGATAGGTTTACGTGCTACTGTTGGCATACCATGTAATCGTAACCTTCGCAAATAAATATCAATCTCGCATTCAAGACTGCTTAAAAAACCATTACTGCACATAAATATTGAATTTCGGTTGTTGTACATGTGCACAGAAATCGAACGGGTCTTCGCATGCAAATTTCTTATGCCGTTTTGCGTCTTACAACAGCAGCAATTGTGGCATTTACAAGAGATACACGTTACTTCTATCTTCAGTTACCGAATTCTGATTTTTCCTCTAGAACATTCAGCCAGAATTCAGCCATATTAAGGAGGAACTGCCGTCCAATTGCATCAGAAACTATTAAGAAGCAACATAGTTATTGCAGGGGTTCTTAACCGGCACATGAGTAGTATTCATTTTCTTATTCTTGTGGTTCTCGTTTCAACGGCATCACCTCCCAATTGCGGTCGTTGCCCTTGCTCCTGGTCATATTTTGAGGTTACTGATGCATGTTACAAGGTTAGTTTTTTTAATCTTGGAAACCAGAAGTTCAATTTATGCAGAAAACATCACTTTCGATCTGTATAGAATATATTGCCTTACATTTATTGACGTGCTCTGCGTCTTACTCAGATGGTCATTATGTCCTCAAGACGCAGGAAAGCTCACTCAATTAATTTCTGACTCATCTACAAAACTCGATTTCGCATGTTCTGTGTTCATTGCATGACCAAAGTCAACACTGCAATGTTCATTTCTCTCACAAATGCATTTTGCAATTCTTTACGCGATTTGCATTAACAGGATGAACTCGCTAATTCAATGTTTTTACAATACAGTTGCGTCGATTAACGATGTAAATATTACAAAAGTTTTGTATCATTCAAAAGATCTTTGTCTTTCATTGGCTATATGACTTTCTGTTCATCACGTTCATTAGTTCTAGAATTTTACAGGAGATGTTTCGACTTCAACAAAACAAATGTAACAAAACATCTCTTTTGATGTGATTGCCTGAAACTATGGCCCGTAATAAACAGCCCATCCGGGCATCTCTCTTGACGCGGACCGGAGTTGAGGTCATCGCGCTTCAGTCCAGCATCCAGTGAGCTATTGATTTGGATGTGGATTGCTTCCTAGGCATGATAACCACATGTGTTGTCAAAAAACCAACCACTTGAGCTGGTCTGGTCAAACGGATAAGCGATTGGAATAACACGCGCGCGGTCGTGGTTCGACACCGGCTAGCGCCACAACTTTTGCTGCATCGCCGGACAATCTTTGATAGCGGCCACTGTCGAAAAAAATCGATGATGACCGCTAACAAGGATATCACTTAGCAAAGGGACAGATAAAACAAAACTGACATATTTTGACGGAGAATTCATGAAAAACTGAAATTTTTGGAACATAAATAAAACGTAATAAATAAGTAGATTCTCTTCTAAAGTAGTTTTTACAAGAAACTAAGATTGCTCTGCAAAAAAAAAGAAGAAAACTTTTATCCTTGCTTTTGTCGCCAAAATCAGCTGTTCATCGATCCTTCCCTTTTCGGGCGCCGGTATCGTGCAGTTTTGCGCCGATTTTTTCTGCATTTTTTGGCAAAGTTGTGTGTATCGTAAGTTATATAGGAGCAACTTATGTCAGATGCAGTCACCTCTTGTCTGCGTCTCCTCTTCTACACACTATTTGGATCACTCTAACATCCGTTTACGTTGAGGTGACTTGAACGTGAACTGATGTGGAAGAGTTGACTGCGGAAGGTGGACAGATGGTCAACTATCAGTTGACTTGACCATCTTATAGCATGGGAACGTGGACGGTGATCAGTTCACCTCACCTAAGGTAAACTGATGGGATAAGTTGAGTTCACCTCAACTGATCGAGCTTTACTACGGGCCTATGTCTGTAAACATGTCTCTTAGAACAAGGGCAAGGCGGTTTCGAAACTTTCCTCGTTGATCTAATCTAAATGTTCATCAGCAGAAAGGGTCAAATTTTTAAAAAAAATCGTCTGCACCCACCTTCACTAAGCACTTCAAACATTGGCCCGTAGTAAAGCTCGATCAGTTCAGGTGAACTGAACTTAACCTATCAGTTGAGCTCACGTCAGGTGAACTGACGACCGCCCACCCTCCCATGCTATAAGCATGGCAAGTGAACTGACAGTTGGCCATCCGTTCACTGCTGCAGTCAATCCAGATCAATAGCTGACTGGATGCTGGACTGAGGCGTCCTGCGTTCAACGTTTTCTCGCACCAGTCGAGTTGCACTGATGGACGTTTACTACGGGCCATTGAAGCACAGATAATTTATATAGTTTCCAAGAGCAGAGGACAAAGCAGTTCTGATTTTTGTCCCTGTCACTGCTGTTTATCTGCAAAAATCAAATCCAGAACTGATCTCTTAACGTATTACAAATGCATAGTACTTATTGTTATCACAATGATCGTTTTTATGAAATAAATCAAAAATACATATGCTATTTTTTCCTATTTTTTGAACAAAACCTTAATTTCCACATTCTTGTCTTACACTAGGTTGTGTAATAAGCTCTGTCCCATTCTTCATTTTGTTTTCCTCACATGGGAAGTCCGATCAGTCGAAGTGGCCTTTCCGACTGAGTGATATACTACTTTGAAGAGCGTTAAACGCTGATTCCAAATCTGATTTTATTATCTGCCGAGCGCCTCTGCATGCCGAGTTATGAATGTTTTTTGGAATTCAAGTAAAATTAACTATTACGGACTTTTGAGTGCCAAACTAGAGCAACACGTAGTATGAGTGTTTTGGGCAGAAGGTATCCTTTAAAATGGGTGCTCTGATAAGCAACATTGGACCATTTGAGCAATTCTGACGAATCCTGCTCTTGCAGGTGAATAATTTTAATTATTATATTATGCCGTACAGGTTGTTATAAATGATATACTTTATTGCCCCACGAATTCTGCTCTAATTACGCATTCAATTTTCCAACCCAAGGAATGCTCATAACACGGCGTCCAGATGCGCTCGGCAGATAACGAAGACATATTCGGAATCAGCGTTTAACGCTCTTCAAAAAACTATATAACCTTTCTGGAAAGGCCACTTCGACTGATCCGACCTCCCTTGTCAGTACTTTGTATAAGGTGTTTTGCAAAATGTATATGCAAGGTATCACAAATGTGCCTACTGCTTGATTGTTGATAACTCTCTTGTTATGAAATCTTTCGGAAAGGACTAGAACCATTTTGTAGAGCTGGCTTCAACCCAGATTTACATTATGGAGCAAATTACCAATCTCCCTCCATTACTGTAATATTGCGGGGGGAACTCGCACCATATGGCGCCACTGTGTGGGCCTTTGGAAAAAAATTTTTTTTAGAAAAATCTGATAATTTGTGCAACAGGGTTTTTTTGCATGCTGATTTCACTACATAACTTTTTGTCTGTTCGCAGAGCTTGAACGGCCTAAGCATATATTCGACGATTATCTGAAATCCGTCGTTAGATTATATCTAGCATAAATTATGAAAAAAGCACTACGGTAAAGTGCGAGTTTCATATTTGGATTCAGAGACCCTGATTAACTTAGTGTAAGAGGTTTCAGCTTCTTTAGTCCTTTTTAGGGGTAAAATATGACCCTCAGAGGCAAAAACCTCTTCAAGGTTCCTACCGTCATACAGCAATGAAGAGAGAACGAATTCGCTTTATAATATAAATCTAAAAGCAAGCTCTACGAAATGATACTTAAAGTTTTTTGATAGAATCAATGACAAGAGATTTATCAAGAACCAAACACTAGGCACATATTTTGGGACACGCTGTATATGTATTTGAAAGCTTCAAGCCTGCTCTATCAGAAATTTCGCTTCAGTTCCTTTTTTTCTTCAGTTTTCTCTGCATTATAAAATTGTAAAAGTTTTTCAACATTAAATTTAAAAAACTAAAAATTGATCCGTTTTCGGCAGCTAGATTATTTCGCCATTCTGATAAGTAAGTGCGTACGAAACAGCTTTGAAAATCTGCTGTGCATAGGGGAAGAATGTCGTAGCTTTTGCAGCGCTTCAGGAGCACTAAAAAGTTCCGGAATTCACCCCTGTAACCTTTAGAAATTTTTCTTTCAAAGTCCCCAAGAGTTAAAAATTGAAAATATTATTGATTGTTTGTCATATGTTATAGAGACTCAAAGCTTATGGACTTACGATGCCTCATTGATCTTTGGTTATGTGTGTTGATTATTCCGCTTTTCTCAGCTTTGCTTAACTGGATCAAATATAAGTTTTTCGATGTTAGCATTGATGTGGTGTTTTTCAAAACGGTTAAATGTTGAAGGCAGCGTCCAGGCAAACCTGAACATACGGGGTTCTGATGTGGAAAGTAATTTTGGGGCCCTAACTAGAACACTGTTCAAGCGGCAGCTCAAATGGTGAGCTCACAGTTGAGATATTCGCCCCCCAAACTGGACCGCCGGATCGTATTCGCCCTAACTAAGACACTGTCCAAGCGGCAGCTCAAATGGTGAACTCACAGTTGAGATACAGTCTGCCCCAATCCTAACCAGGCCAAAATTGGCTTGGCGGGAGTGCGCGTCGCGAGGGTTTCGCGCCACTTCTGCGTCTGCTAGTCTGCTCTCTCCTCAATCTCTTCGCTCTCTGCGACAGCGCGCGTATGCAGCGCAAACCCCTAGCGCTGCGAGCGCGCAAATTCAGCCGACGGTTCGGCCTGATCCCGATTGAGGCTGTCCAGATTTGCCTGAACGCTGCCTTTAAGGAACGAATTACGGCACCGCGACTGCTAAATCTCGCAATTAATGTCTTTATGGACGCTAAAAATACAGGCTTCAATTCCAGTGCAGCTCCGAACTTTCGCCACATGACTTCGTCCAAAGTTTGAAGTAGCTTTAGGAGAAAGATTGTCAATTCAATTTGAATTATTGAATGGCTAGTGAAACACTGAAGTTCTGACTAAAGTTGTGTACGTTTTGCTGAAATTACTCGGTTGTTGCAGATAATGTAACATCCGTGAAAACTCTTAAAACTTTTGATGCCAAAAGTACTGCTTTGAGATTTCAAATGCTCTCGTGGTTCGTGATGTATTGTAGAAATCGCAATTTTCAACTAGGATTTCCTCGTGCAAGCGAAGTAACGGCGCTTAATGTACTGTTGAAAAAAACGACACTAGAGTAGTTCTTGTTTGGTTGAAAAACAGGAAGATAGAACAGTATTCCTATTACCTATGGCTTAAAGCATTTAGTGAAAGCTTGTAAATTTTCTTTGATGGACTGAAGACAGATTTTTGCCTTCTATGAAACCAGCCCTACCTAGCTTCGTTCAACTCAGTATGTCGTGCACAACTAACCTTTACCTCACTTCTACAAGTCAGTTTTTCTTTCTCACTCCCAAAAGAGCGGTTATGCAACCAGCATGCTCACTCATCCCTCAGTCTTTCCCCCTGCACCAACTCCCTGTTCAAAATTAGCTAAATACGGCTAGGAGAAAGCTGTAAATATTTTGCTGTCACTTTCGTAATTAACATCCTTGACCACGCACCATCGCAAGGTCACGTAACTCAAAGTAAGCAAACGATCAAATTGAGATTGGCAATCTCAAACTCGAAACTCCAAATTATATTCGTAATCATCGTGCTCACTTGCTCCCTGCTTCGAGCGAGTTCGCTGGAAAATCGATGAATCGATATCTGTCGATTACGACGGCCTTTTGCACCCGCCCTTTCCGGAAATGTGTGTATATGTATGTGTGTATATGTGTGGTGTATGTGTATGTGTATGTGTATGTATGAGTTTGTGTGGCGTGGTATGTGGTGTGTGTATGTGTGTATGTGTATGTATGTGTATGTGTATGTGTATCAGTGGCGTACCCAGGATTTCGGCTCGGGGGGGGGGGGGGCGACAAAAAAATTTTTCAATGAAGGTGCGTGGCGTTAGCTCCGAAAAAATTTTTGGGATGTTTCCCAAAATTTTTCCGGGCCCATTACCCCAAAATTCCTGAAAGAGGGAGCGTGGCGGCAACCACGCTCCCGAAAAAAACTTTTTTTACAAAGCTAAATTGAATTTTTAAAAATTTTTAGTAAAGTAAATACAAGTCCTCTGCACAAGTAAATACAAGTCCTCTGCACATTTTTATAACACATTTAAGTGACTTTCAAAAATTTCGCGACCCATTCTTGGGGGGGGGCGCTCCCCCCCCCCCTCGGTACGCCACTGATGTGTATATATTAGGTTGGCACGAAAGTTCTTGCGTAATTCAAACAAAATTCATTAACTTTTCAAAGACTAAACCTAAATTCACAATCTTGTATGCTAAAAATATAAGACGTCTCACGCTCCATGATGGAAGTTCAAGTACAACATTCCATGAGCTAGCCATCGATAAACAAGCTCTCAAATATGGGGCTTCAAATTTTGCGATTTTGAGTTTGATGCCAGAAAATCGCAGAGTGCCGCTAGCTAGCCGAATAAATTCTGTAGAAATTACTTACACAGCAAAAGTCCATACGTTATTTTAGCAGGCTTTGATCTCGCATAGAAACGCGAAAACAAGAAATTTGTGAAATTTCTCATTTCACAGGACAAATCCCTTATCGCTCTAATTTTTCCACAGAAACACAGCTTGCAACCAGAAATTAGACATAGTGCCTACTTAGAGCCTTGCAACGTTTCTAGATTGTAAAAAAGTGTTTTCGCCGGAAAACTGCAGACATGAAGGAATTTTTTCCGCAATATTTCACGAACTTTTGTTTTTGCTTCACCATGCAAGATCAAAGCCTTTCAAAGTAAAATATGGACTTTTGTCGTGTAAGTAAATTCTACAGATTTTTTCGGCTAGCTAGCGGCACTCTGCGATTTTCTGGCACCAAACTCAAAATCGCAAAATTTGAAGCCCCATATTCGAGAGCTTTGTTCTCGATGGCTAGCTCACGGAATCTTTTGCTTAAACATCTGTCATGAAGCCCTGGGCTTCTAATATTTTCAGCACACAAGATTGTGAATTTAGGTTTACTCTTTGAAAAGTTATTGAACTTTGTTTGAATTACGCAAGAACTTTCGTGCCAACCTAATATATGTGTGTCTTTCTATTCGGAAATACGTACAGACTGAGACACATAGAAAAAGAAGTTGATCTTGTAAATGAAATAGAGAGATTAAAAGTTGGTGTAAAAGAAATGTAAAGCTTATAGTGTGCTTTCAGAGGTTTGAACGGCCACATTCATTTGACGATGCAGAGAATCGATGCCGTGTTTTCAAAGGACACTTAACCTCAATTCATAGTTATCTGGAAAACGATTTCGTCGAGCGTAGGTAACATAATGATGAAATGTCTCCAAGACTCAAATTAAGGGATAGCCGAAAATGGAACATTTACTGGAGAGAATGATCGCTTGTCGTGGATAGGACTAAAGCGGAACAAGGGCAGCAAAACTTGGTTTTGGACTGATGGCTCTCCTTATGGTTATAACAAGTGGGCAGGACAACCGGAGACTGAGAACAAAACACAAGAGAAATGCGCGCAGGTGACAACCTTACAAATAGAATTTCAACCTTTCGTTGATTTAGATGGTGTCCACATTTACAAAGAAGAAAGCTATCGTCTTCAAAGCGTTATGGCACGATGCGGATTGCAACTCCAATGCGACATTTTTCATTTGCAAAAAGAAAGCTTGATAAATTTTGTGTTGTTATGATTCTAAAAGTCAATGGGAGTGGCGTTATGGACATGGATAAAGATTGTTGGTGATACTTCGAATAAACCAATAATGTCTTTGGCATTGAGAGGTATAGGGATCGTTTTATACCCCTTTTTGCTCAATATACCTCTTACTTGAACTTCTTCAAAATGTTGGTTTGTATCTAAAACCCAACCGTGGCGGAAATCGCTGATTGTGGTTTTCAATGATTTTGTGAGAGCTCGTTGATTGAATAAGCTGTAGAAAAACATACCAATAGTTGTTCATCGCGGCGTAAGGTAGCTCAGACAATCGGGGGGAAGTTCCGGCGAACATTGAAGAAAGTTCCGGCGGGTCACCTAGGGAACTTCATTGTAAGTTCCTGGAAACTCTATTCTAAGCTCCTGGGAACTTCAGTTCTAAGCTCTGAACTTCTCCTAAGATTGTAGTTCTCCGGAACTTCTTCATCCAAAGTTCTCGGAAAGTTTCCAAAAGACTGTAGTTCACGGGAACTTCTTTATTGAAGTTCTCGGGAACTTCTTGCTTTTCTCTCGGAATTCCAGCTAATGACCACCTAATGGCCACTTCTAATGCGATTGCCATAAAGAACATCTATATATTTATTATATATATTTGTTAACGATGAAATGTTTGTTTAACACTTAACATAAGAACTTCATCGAATAAATGAACACATATACACGTGATAAGTATTCAGATAACAACATTGATAAAAGGAACAATATTGTTTTTCACGGCTGACTGCCTAAGTTTTCATTGCTGACGTCTAAGTTTGCTTTCCAAGCCTCCTTGCTCATTGTTTCTTTGTCGGTGCGTCCAAGTTCGACAAGGGCACCCTTCGATTTCTGAAAGAATATATATATGAATATAAATAGGAGAAAGCGGATTTTAACATTTGGTGGAACAAGATGACCATCGTGGAGGCGATAATAGCGCACATCCTCGCTAAAGAATAGAAACAGCCTTTAACGATGGCGTTATGTAGAAGTGGTGGACTTACAGCGCTTCAGCAATGCATGTTTTTGCGCTTACGCTCCAACTCGACTTTTTTTTCCAGCAGTGAATTGAAAGCTTTTTCACGTCCCTGCTCCGTTCAGCTAACGAAAGCCAAAAACTGAAAAAAAATTTCAGCGCCTAAAATGGTTATTGTAGATATAGACAGCACCTATTCTGTGAGTTCTTTAGCAAGTGCAGCTTCGATCCGTAGAATTCGTTGTGATTCAAATCCAAAGCATCCAAAATAAACTCTAAATGTTTTGTAGCTTAACCCCTTTCAACTGTAAATTACCTTAACCTGTAAGCGCATCAAAAATGGAATCGGATAGATCGATTAAATCCGTCCTTCGAGCGACTTTTGAAACACGATACGCATAGTTCCGGATATCAGAAGGGCCGGGTGCGCAGATCTAAGTGTAGGTTACGTGGTGGTCATTTTGTATCCAGAGCGCACCTCTTTGAACAGAGTTCGCAGAAAATCGATGACTTCACTGGTAACTTCGTTTTTTACTCTTTTTGGAGGGGCGTATTTTCTCCGAAATTCATTCAAATTGACTTCCTACAAATAAGATTTGACGAATTTTTTGCCATATTTAGTTTCTAGATATCTTGAATGGCGGCTGAAGGCGAATGAGGTGGTCTTGTCTTGAATTTGCTTGACGTATCGGGGAGAGGGCGTTTGACACTGAGGATCTGTTTCAGTCTGTCCACCTCATCCTCCAGTGCTCTGTTTTTTGCCAGAAGCAAGTTCATCTATATTGCTAATGTTTTTCATTTTTTTAAAGAAATTGTACTCGACACGATTCGCGATCGCTAACTCCACGAGCAGACGATTTGTTTCGGCGGTGTCGCAGAGTTTCCTAATCGCGAGCGCTCCGCACTTTGCACTACACGAGAAATATCTGCCATGTCGAACTGTCTGATTGGTCGAAGGGAATGGTTAAAGTTTCCTATGAAGTTCTACTTTCGAAGACCACCGCCACGGGAATGCTCTGTTACCCGCATGGACAAAGTAATCAGCGGTCCTCCTCTTGTAAGCGTTGCGTACAGAACTCCGGAAAACCAGAACTCCCCACTTCGCGCGCAAGGCAGCTTCTTACAGCCTCTAAAAATTTACCAATTTTCTACTGTGCGGTTTGTTACGTTTGACAGACTTCAACCAGCAGATTTATAACAATGGAATCATAGCATGATTTTTCATTATTTTATCACTCGAAATTCTGGTTCTCAGCGATTACTGCCTGGATCGACCTACTTTCTTCGCAGTACGTCATGACAAAATGTGCTTGATAAAACACACAAAGTCTAGCTGAGTACTACTCACAAATACATTACTTCATTAACACGTTTATTTAAAATATTTTTGCAGTTGTACTCATCGTATTTGTGGCCCTAAAGAGGGCCCGTTGGGTCACAGTTATTGGCCCTAAAGAGGACCGTTGGTTAGAGCTTTTCAGTTATCCGAAGTCATCATGAAGCTTTGCTCTATCGTAGAAAGTGCTGAGGCGTATATGCGTCCATGCCGGTGATCGCCTCCAAGTGCCGCGGTGTTCGACGGCGACTTCCTAAAAGTAAACTACATGGGATATGCTCTCACTACTTTCTTTTGCGTTCGTTTTTCTTAATTCCTTTTTTTCAGATTCAGCAAAAAAATTAGGTGAGAGGAGGTCAGTGTCCGGCACTACCACCTTCACTTTTGCTGGCCAGTGGTAGCTGCAACCATATTCACTTTTGGGGGGCCCGGCTCCACGCATCGCACCTCTACTCAACCCCCTACCCCCCCCCCCCCCCTCCGCCTCCTGTATATTCATTGCAGACTTTGTGATGGCTGAATTTGACAGAAAAAGACTGCATTTGTAGTTCCAAGATGAAATACATGAAATTGTGTTTGCCATATTTGGAATGAGAAAGTTATTCAAAAAAGCTGCGAAACGCAGTCTTCAAACTAGTGATATAAACATCAACTTTTCCAACTGGATTAGCGCCTAATATCATTTGTTTGCAACTTCAGTAAAAAGTGATCGCAGTGAGTAAGTCATAAATTATTTTTCGTAAACGGAATTTCAAGAATGAGTAGCACCCACACCAGCAAAGGAATTCTTAGTAGGGGATGAATTATCGTAGAAAACTAATTCGGTAAAAAACACGTCAGCAGATTCCAGGGAAACACCACAGTGCTTTAAAGCTCTTCTCAGTCTTCAGGCCCAGAAAAATCCCAAGGATTTGGTCAATTGACCCATAATTGTTTATAAATTGCCGTTTATCGAAAGTGCACAACAATGATGGGCTGTGTTAGGAAGAGTAATATGAGACAAAGTTTGCAATAAGTCCCGTCTATCAACTATAAACACAGAAGTTAGTGGCAATAATTTTGTAGACATAAATTCATCTTCTGCTTTGCGCTCACTTTGAAATGCCTCAGTATGCATTCTTGATCTTTTTCCTATAGCCCATTATTCTTTACCCTCCAAATAGCAGATTTAAGCTCCATTGATGTAAATCTAAGCTCTTCTTCGTCTTGAAGACAAAACAAAACTCGATCTCAGACTGCTAATTAATTTGAACGTCAACTTACCTATCAACAAATTTAGTAATTACTCTTTAATAAACTTGGAATACTTTTTGGCATTGGGAGGTGGGAGCGGGGAGGGGGGGGGGGTGGAGGGGGGTGATACGATTTTTCTCGTCTAAATGCCGAAGTTCCGAGCCACATTCTGTTGATTTTTTTGCAACTGAAGGGATATATTCAGCCCTGAAAGTTGCGAAAATCGTGTGGCAGAAATCATAGTATTTCTGGAAACACTTCTCAAAAATATTTTTCTTCTTCCTCCAAATTTGCGAGATTACTACGACTTTTACAAGTAAAACCGCTTATTCGCGTAGTTTCATGAACTGTGCAACTACTTTCGATAGATTTCCAAACGGTCTTTGCCTCCTTTCCCGAAACACATCCCGTTGGACACACGCGTGCGACCCTTTGAGTGGGGGCGTAGGCTCTTCATCGCTTCGCCTATTTGCGTTTTTCTTATTTTGCGCGCATAGAAACTTGTATGGGTGACCCAAAAAACGATGCAGGTAGATTGTTGAGGGGTGTGGGTGGAGTTCAAATTTTTGAGACCCTTTTGATGTTCCCTGTAGTATTAAAATTTTGAAAATTGCTTGGTTACTCAAACACATCTTCCTTTGCGGGCGATTGCTTGTCAAAAGTTCATTTCTCCGTCATTGCTGAAATTTACAACGCGTTCTAGCTTTTTCTAGACTTTGATTAGCATTATTGATTGGCAATAGCATTTTTTTCAATTTATTGAGCGCAAACTATTGTACTACGTTTCAAATATTTCTAGAAAATCTGATGGTTGTTGAAATTGTCATAATAGTAAAATTCACCTAATGAATGTGTGTTTGTGCATTAAGTCATCTGCAAACTTTGAGGCACTATTTCTCATTGATAAGTGCATTTTTTCTTCACTCTGAGTCTCCCCCCCCCCCTCCCCGCCTCCACCATCCCCCTCCATTCCCCTCCCCCCTCCCCCCGCCTCCGCCGCAAACCTCCTTACCCCGTCCTTTTTTGTAGAAAAAAGATGTTCAAAAAACTTTACGCTATCAGGGGCTCGGGTAGCTTAAAGCAAGCTGGATATAGTTTTTGGGACAAAAAGCAAAGGGGGTGTCGTTATTGTGGCCGAAAAAACACAGATTAGGTTACGTTTTTTTCTAGTCGACGTTTGGTTTTCAAACAAAAGGTTTAAAGGGGGCTTCGTAAAATCTTGCAAAAGTCAAGGGGAACTTTGTTTTTGCGTTTTCGAAAAGCCACCTCGTGCTGAGCCCTGTACGCTATTCCGTTCGTGAAATTTATTATGCTTTTACACAACATGTTCAAATATTCTTTTTTGTAAAAAAATTTTGTTATCACAATTGATTCTCATTGACGTAACTTCAACAGTTTTTCTAGAGAACTGGTTGACCACTGATGGTCAATCACTAGCTATGTATCTATCTAGCTTGTTTGATCTGCTCATACTTGAACACTAACTAATTACACCATGACTGGTT